CCCCCCGCCACCCCCCCCAACCAAGCCCTAAAAAGGAAAAGACCTACCACCCAGTAAACCTTGCCCCTCAGCCCTATCCCTCACATGTTGACCCTGGTTACAAGAGGCCACGGTAAGAGCTGTTTGGATCCAACAGGAGTTCTAAACCCCAGAAGGCCAAGGCCAGGACGCAGTCTGTGCACACTTTGTCCTCCAGCTCCGCAGCCTCTACCAATGCTGTTGGGTCCAGCACTCTCAGGGCAGGGACATCAGAGGCAGGGGCTGGTAAACGCAGTCAGACTTGAAGGGGCAGTGGCCATTCCCTTGCATGAAAAACCAGCATCGGACCTGGCTGATCCAAGCCCTTAAGTTCCCAATGAGTTGTTCCTTCTGAGCCCCCTTGCTCAATCAGAATTTGTGGGGTATGATGTAGTTGGCATGGACATGGCACTGGGGACAGGCTTTGAAGACATGTAGCAGGAAGTCCTGTCAGCTCCTCAGTCAGGTGTGCAGGCAGCCCCGGCACTGGGCATGAGTGCAGTTGGGCAGGATGCCAAAGATCCGCTTGGCTTCTGGTTTGTACCACGCCTTGTCCATGCAGATGCCATACACAGTGTCCCGACTGTCCTGCTCCCTTTCAAGGTCCATGCTCTCACATGGGGCCACAAGCTTCCAGACAGGATCTGACTTAGACAGAGATTCCTGGAAGTAGCTTTGATCTTCATCAGCTGATGATGACAACGGACTTCCAGGAACTGCCACCAAGTTCCTTATTCTTACTGCCATTCCTGCCCCCTCTCCCACCCCCGCCAGGCTCCATGCCCCCCAATCCACAGCCACAGAGGGCAGGTAGGTGGGCTCCAGAGCCCCTGTGGGTCAGCCCCAGCAGGAGTCCTGGCAGGGTGACAAATGGCTCTGAATGGCAGTGGCCCCACTCCAGGTGGGCAGGGAACTGCGGGGGCTGGTAGCTGCTTCTATTTCTGTGGAAGCAGAAGCCTCGCTGGAAGTTATTTGCAGACCTGGGACACCTTCCAGTCTTGAGCAAAGCGGCACCTTGGCCCCTAGTGACAGACCCCTCAGGCAAAGTTCCTCAGTGGCTGCTGGGAGTGGGGACTGCTCTCCCTACCACTGGCCACCGCCATTCAGACCTGCAGGGTTCACCCCAGCTGTAGCCCTTGGTGAAAATCATTTCACTTAAGTTTTGAAATTTCCTCTTCAATTTGAATGTATGTACTTCATTTCAAATATTGAGTTCCTACATCCTTACAGTTATTATCTGCTTTGAAAGCTTGTTTTTAATATTTTCCCCAAGCATCACAATTGATGCTCCCAAACATCATTTCAATCAACATATTTAAAGGCAATATACTGAGGCAATTCAATATATAGGAAAGAGGATTGGATTGAGAATTTAGAGACCCGGGTTGAAGTCCAATCATTAATCCATGATTTTGCCCAATCATTTAATCTCGCTAGACTCCAATTTTTGAAACTCGAATATGAGAAAGCTAATCTCTTTTCTCAAGTTTAATTTAGTCAGTTGCTGAAGGAGAATTGGGCAGTGGCAATTGGAAATAATGCCTGAGCCAGAGTGCTGGATTGGCACCCATTAAGTAAAGAGGAAGGACGGCGTGGAGCTAGTGTTAATCCCAGCAATGCTGAGCTGAAAGAGAGGCAAGGGAATCAGAGCAGGTCCAAATTCCAAAGTCAGGCCAGGAATAACTATCTCCCAGAACATTAATTCAAAGCCGGCAAGTTGAAATGGAGTATTGAGCCAGAGAA